CCTCTCCCAAAACACCCTCACTCTGCTCCCTCCAGGTGGAATTTGGGGCTGATCAGAGGGAGACTGGAGTGTCGGGCCAGGAGGCCCAGAGGAACTCGTTGTAGCTGGTTAAAATCGGGGCGGTGGGAAGGATGCTGGGTGTGCACACTGAGACCCAGGCTTCTTCTGGGGGAGAAGCCCAGGTCACCCCTCCACCTGCACACACCTGCCCATGCACATTGCGCCGTCCAAGTCGGTCTTGCCTTAAAGCTGTGATTCTCACCCTTGACTGCCTTACCTGTCAGAATCACCTGGGGAGCTTTGGAAACTCCCCCAGGAGGAATGATGCAGGAGGCACCTCTGACAGATCGAATCAGAACCGCTTGGGACCCCAAAATGCCAGGTTGTTAAGGCCTCCCAGGTGGATCCCACCTGCAGTCACTGCCAAGTCCCCTGAACAGGGTCCAGCGTGGCTCTTGTGCTAAATCAGATGCAGAGTGGAAGAAGCAACCGCTCTGTTTAAAAATAAGAACCACCTAGCATGCTATTTTTACAAGGTTTTATATAGGCAAAATAAAGCCTACATTCAATTCCACTCTTTTCCTCCTTATAATAAATTTTGCTTTATTAGAGTGAAAGTAACGTCAACTCTTTTACTCTCTATGAAAATTTTCTGTTTCCCAGCTTGGTTTTATAGCGTTTCTGTTCCTACAGCTGTAATTTTATATGATGCTCTGCTGGTATTTTCAGAGCAAAAACATTATATGTAGTTCCTAGTGCCAAAAGGTATAGAAAGTTTTGTAAAACTATGGGAGAGGAAAGAGCAATAGGTTTATTTTAAGATCATAAAAATTTTATTTGGCTTTTTTTTTTTCCTCCTTTGCACTGGTTGCTGTTACTTTAAACGTCTTCTGGCATTTAACTGGCAATAAAAAGGGCAAAACAAACTGTTCCTTCCTTTAGATTGTGCAATTTTATTGCTCTGTTTTAGTGCAACTAAATGTTACTTTAAAAAAAAAAAAAAGATGCATGTTTAACTACGTTCTTTTTTGCAAAGCCCAGGGCTGTGAGCTGAGAAACTCCAAGGGTGTTGGAGGCACTCTGTGGGTGCCTGAAGCTTTTCAAAGACGCTTAGGAACAATCTGAAGTTTGGTGGCTTTCATGACATTGGTCCCAAAGCTGGGGACGGTTGCGTTTCACTGAATCTGAGACGGCTGAGCCCGTGTTGAGCCCAGGCATTAGACAGTCACAGTAAAGACAGACGCGTCTCGGTGACCATCACGCAGCTCCCAGTAAAGGAATCCGTGTAGGATCAGATGTTCACACTGTAAGTTGGAAGCCAGGGACCAGAGTAAATGTTTCCACACTCAATCCGTTTACGCATTTTGGATCACATAGGCGATGCTATCCGGTGGAAATGGGGAGTTTTATTCTATTTTAGACAGTGCCGTGCTCTGGTTTTCACATCCTTTCTTTTTATTTTCGTTTTTATTTATATATATTTTCCCCTCCCTTCACCCTTCCCTCGGTTTTCACATCCTTTCTACACGTGTTCACATAGATCTAAAAAACTGCCGTGTGATGAGTCAACACCAAACGGGGAGCTGAGTTCCAACCTATCACTCAGGCGGAAAACAAAATTTGGGTTTCATAGCAGAAAATGTATTTGAACATAGAATTTGAAGAATTTGGAGGATAAGAAAGAATTTTTTTTTTTTTTTTGCAATACGTTTTGCCTCTAAGGCAAACAGAGCAATAAACTCTACTATCAAATAGCTTTCTGTTTGTCTGTTTTCACATTTCTTCATGGCTTTATTTTCCTGTGGTTATAGCAGCAATCTGAAATGAAAAGGTTATTACTTCCTATTTGGGACTGGGTAAAAGCTCCCAGATAGCCCCAGCCACTCTTCCTGCAGGGTTTCCTGTCTCCCTGCTATTATTACACGGTGCAACTCCAATTGTTTTCTCTAATGTTGCTTTACCTTGTTGCCACCTTCATCAGAAATGTTGTAATAATAACAGTATTTAATTTTATAGACTATTTCCTGCATACTAGGTACTTTGCTGATCCACACTGTCTCATTTAATGCCACTAATTTAGGAAGTGTTTATCTCATTGCACCATTTTGCCACTGTAAATGAGAGATTGATCGAGAAACAGCCCAATGTCACATTGCCAGAAAGTAAAGGCCAGCCCATTCTATTAAATTTTTATTATTAAAAATCTCCTAAATCTATTTCTCCTTTTTGGGGGGCCAATATTTGCTTTTGAGACTTTATTATTAAGCCGTATGTGAGCTTAGTTATATCTTCCTTGGGGAAATTGAAATGTTTATGTTATAAAATGACCCTCTTTAGTAATGGCTTCTGCCTTTAAGTCTCTTTTGTCCGATAATAATAATATTATACCAGCTTTATCTTATTATCTGTCCGGTGTGTATGTATATATTTGCAAACAGTTTATATGCATATATCAGCTTGTAACAGGAGTAGATAGATATAGATAATCAGTTTACAAAAAGAAAAATTATTTTTACTGCCAAATTTTTCTAAATTCTTATCATTTGGATGTGTCTCTTGTAAATAGCAATTAGCTAGATGTATTTCTTTTTAATCCAGCATGAAAATATTTGTGTTTTCACCAGAATGTTTGGTCTATTCACATTTAGTGTTGCAGGGAAGAGTGCTAATTGCCCATAGCATAGCTTCTCCATTTCTTTCATTTACCCGGAGAAACTTCTCTCAAGCTCTGCACTGAGCAGAGTATTAATATTTCCAGGCCTTCTTGCAGCTAAATATGACGGAGTTGCTCAAAATGAAATGGACAAAACGGACACAGGCAACCTCTGTGCACCTGGGTCACGCCCTCAGAAGGGAAGCTCCTTGGTGTCTCTCCAGCTGACCAGGAAAATGGTCACACCTGAGTAGATAGGTCTGTTGGGGCCAGAGAAGCAACGCAAGAGAAGAAGGTGCTAAAGTTGTATACCAGCCTAGCACCCTCTGCAGAGACGGAAAAAGAGACTCTTCTATTCTCTTCATTATAGAAGCTCAGCCTGCTCTTCGATCAAAACAGTTTGGATCATTGATATATTTGCATTGATTTTACTTTTTCCTATTGTGCTATTTTTTTCCCACTCGTGCTGTAATTCTTTTGTGCTTTTCCTTTTTCTTGACATCTTTTGAATTTCTTGAGGAATTTTTTCCTCTCCCTCCACTTTTAAGATTTCTACCAAGTTGAATCGATAATCCTTGCATACCAGGTACTTTGCTAAATGTATTATCCGTGCATGTTATGTTAACGTTTGATGTTATTTAGTGGTTTCCATCAAAAAGTCAAAATTCAGTATCTGTTCCCTCCTCCACTAGAATATAAGGATCTAAGAAGATATTGGATGTTTGATAGTGTTGGTTAAGTACCATCCAATACTATGAATATCACAGAGAAATAGTCTCTTTTTGCTTTTTAGATAAATAAGTACATGTGTATCGTCGCTTTTTCTGATTACGAGAATGATTCGTGGTCATGCAAGATGGTCAGAGTTCAAATCCCAGCTGTACGAGTCACTAGTTTTATGATCTTGCAAAATCGCTCCAGTTCTGCCTGCCCTGTTCACAGAACGGGGGGTCGTGGCGACACCCGCCTCGGGCAGTTTTGTGTAAACTCCAGCTGAAAATGATCCTAAAACTTTCTCTGGAGCCTGGCACTTGGAAACCACAACCATGTGAGGGAGCGATCAGTGCAGAAAAACATAAATCAGTGAGCCTGCCAATAACCCCACACTGCGAGCTGGGTACTGTTGCCATAAGAAGTGTTTCTCTCTGGCTTCCCCAACCAGACCTCTCTCTCTCTCTCTAGCATTTGCATGTGTGTGTGTATGCAGTTTTTTTCTAAAAGAAATGGAATATACTATCTCACGTTTATTACCCCCTTTTATCAAGTGACCATATCCTATGAATATTATTGGGTGGCAATAAATATAGACCGAGAATAGATGGTCATTCTAATGGTTGCATAATAGCTCATTGCATAGCTATAACAGGATGTATTTGACAAATTTCCTATCGACAGGTTTTAATGGTCTTTATTTCCTTTTTCCCCTTTCTATAATGACTATTGTCATTTTGTGTGTGTGTGTATGAACTTGACTACTGATTCCCCTATGATAAATCCCACAAAGTGTAATTGTACCATCAAACGGTCCACCACCTTGCTAAGGTGTTTTAACCTGTACCTCCGAACTGCTAAGGCGTTTAACCTAACTGCTACAGGTGTTTAACCTGTACCTCCAAACTGCGTTCCAAAAATGTTGTACCAATGTCCACGTTGGCAAGCGATGCCTGAGGGTGCTCGCTTTTTTCATATCCTTTCAATTTTGGCCAATTCCACGGACCAAAAAAAAATTCTCTTTGTTGTGATAATTCGTGTATTTTCCATTGCCGGTCTAAGCAGGCACGGCCGTGCAGGTTTATAAAATGAGGCTGGCAGCTTCTGCGTGCAGCGGCAGGCGCGAGCTGTGGCAGCAGATAATGGCCGGGACGCCGCCACGGACTGTGGCCAAGGCTGTCTCCCCCCGGCAGCAGCGCCGCGCCGCGAGGGCCCTGCTGGGATCCGCCTGCCAAAGGAGGGCAGAGCCGCCCGGAAGAGACAGGCACAGAGAAGCCACCTGCGTCCCAGGACTCAGAGATAAGAAAACCTATTGAAGGTGGACGGGCTGTGGCAGGTAAAGGGATTATGACCAAGATGCGACATGCCACCTGTGACGGAGAAACTCACCAGTGGGGACGGGGAGTCTGAGCCGAACCCAACACAAGAGCCCGGGTGCATGGGGGGGAGCTGGGGCCACCGGAGCCCGCTGTCCCGCTTTAGGGGACGATGCCTGAGCGCGGGATCATGAACTGGAAGGTTATGCCCCGGCGCCAGCGGGTGGCAAAGACCTCGGCCAGGAGGGGAGCTCCAGCCCTAAGGGACAGTGCAGCCCCCTGAGCATCAGGTGATGGCCACAAGGTAGACGTGGACTCACCTGTCCTGGCCCTCCTTCCTCTCTCTGCCGGACGCTTGCACCGTGTCTGCCCCCAGGGGCTGCGGCTCACGAAGAGGACATCTGGAGAAAGGCGCAGCGTGCCCTGGCTCCGTCCCCGAGGGCATGGGGACACCGGAGCCGTGTGCCGGGCGGGGAAGACGCCAGCGGAACACGCCGGCTGCACTACTGTGCGAAGAGAGTTTCCCGTGTCTGTTGACATTTTGGAATTCTTTCTTTGAGAATTTCCTATTTATATGCTCTATCAGTTATTTTTTCTTCTTCTTCTTCTTCTTCTTCTGGGGGGTATTGTTCTTTTTCTCAGGGACAAGGAAGGACAAGTGAAGCTGACCGTTCTCGTGTGTGTTGCGAATATCAGTAGAGGAAAAGAGCAGGGGAAAGCGAAAGCAAAAGCGAAACGGTTTTCAGTTTTAAGAGTTTCTTATTTACGTGCCGTTCTCACTAATAAAGCATTTAATCGATTGATCAATAAAACGCTTACGAGACTGTTTAGAAACCTTCTAAAGCATGAACAGATCCTTAAAGGAGACTGTTTAGCTGCCGGGGTCTTTAGGACACGAGCCGGGCGCTGGGACAGAGAGTGGGAGCGGAAGTGAAAGGGTCTGGGGCGAACGGTGTCACGTGTCACTTGGAGACAGGAAGTGCCGTGAAGCAAACGGAATGCTCGCGGTCAAATTGTTCTGGAACATTCCAGCAAACGGATCCCTGCTCGCGGTTGGCATTGAGACAACAGGGAAGACATTGTTCAGAAAAAAAAAATTGGCTTATTTCAGACACACACACGCACAGAGAAAAGGCTTGAAACCACATTTCAAACGAACTGAAAGCCAAAAGGCTGATTTCAAATTGTAGCGTCCATGCCTCCCGGGAAGAAATCTCCGGAAAATTAATTTTATAGGCCAGTGGACTCTCGAGGAATACCAGCTTCACGCCGGGACGTCGAGTCAGGGCCGGGATGTTTAAACGGTGACCGAACAAATGATCGCTCTCAAGGAGCTGCAGAGGGACGGCAGCCATGCGAACAGACAAGCGTGGGCGAGTGCTAGGTCCGGGACCGTAAGGACAGGGACGGAACACAGCAGAGCGGCTGACACACAGAGGCTCTGCAGGCAGAAGAAAGAGGCTCCGGTTATTAGCTGTGTGACCTTAGGCAAGTTGCTTGGGTTCTCTGGGCCTCAATTCCTCAAGCTACAAAATGGAAATGGTCACAGCCTCTTCCCCAGGGTTTGACCTGAGGATTGCACTAGTCGACATAGGTTACGTGTTCAGAATTGCGCTTCACACGTTGTTGAAGGGACTCGGTAGGTGACGGCTGCCTTGGGGTTCATAAGCAGCCCCAAATCTCAGCCTCATCGTCTGTCAAATGGAGCTAATGATTCTCCCCACCCCGGGGACTGCCTCGATGGACAACTACCGTGTTTCCCCGAAAACAAGACCTGCCCATAAAATAAGCCCCGGCAGGATTGCTAAGGCATGTGCGCAGTAGAAGCCCCACCCCGAAAATAAGCCCCAGTGACGGGCGTGGCTGCGCATCTGCACAACCCGTGTGTGTCGTCGCGGAGCGGGAAAGAAGACGAGCAGCCCTTCTCCTCTGCCCCGTGAGAGCTCTAGTGCTCCACATGAGAGATCGGGGCCGATGGTTCTAAAGGAAACAGAGTCGCAAGACATTCAGGATGGGATTCGGGGTTTGGAGAGTGATGATGATGTCCCAGAAGAAGACGACTGAACTCTATTTGAATCAATGTAGATGGTTGTACCGTACTTAAAAAAATAACAGTTCCCCTGAAGGTAAGCTCTAGGGTGTCTTCTTGAGGAAAAATAAATACAAGACCCTGTCTTATTTTCGGGGAAACACGGTATGATGCTTGAGTGACAATAAGAGAGTCGACACTTGAAACCGTTACAAAGACTGTCCCAAGGCGAGACAAATGTGCCAAGTGTCGCCACCCACCACCTAAAAATGTCTGAGTTTCTGAATTACACAGTCAGCACCATGTTCCTTAGTTTTTCCACACTGGCTCCACTTTGTGCTTTTCCAGATATGTGCTGGTAATGAGGCCCAAACCGTTGTTTGCCATC